CACAATTTCTCAAGGTTACAGGCTACAGTTTGCTATGCGGTCACCCAGGTTCAACGGTGTGTTAGTTTCTGTAGCCGACGGTGATTCAGCTCTGGCCCTAGAGGACGAGATGGCGTCTTTGCTACACAAGCGAGCGATCAGAGTTGTCCCAGAAAGGGAAAGCCGGCAGGGTTTTTATTCCCGTTACTTTGTCATTCTAAAAAGACGGCTCTTCCCTTCGCCCTATTTTGGACCTCCGTGTGTTGAACAGTCATCTCCGAAAGTACACTTTCAGGATGGCGACACACAAAACCCTCTGTCAGTCGATTCGTTTGTGACGATCGATCTGTCAGATGCCTATTTTCACATAGACATCTATCCCGCACACAGGAAATTCCTTAGGTTCACATACCGAGGCACAGCCTACGAGTATCAGTCAATCCCATTCGGATTGTCGCTAGCTCCGAGGGTGTTCAGCAAGTGTGTGGAGGCGGCTCTGGTGCCATTGAGAAACAACGGCATCAGGATATTGTCCTACATAGACGACTATTTAATATGCTCCCATTCAAAGGAGCAAGCGATCACAGATTCCGAAATAATTGTCACTCATTTAAGGGATCTGGGTTTCAGGATCAATATGGAAATGAGCCGTCTGACCCCCTCGCAGCTCACAGAATATTTGGGCCTCCGAATAGACTCCCTCTCGTATCGGGTTATGTTAGTGGAGAGGAGGACAGTGTCTTTTATGCAATGTCTCGCACGCTTTCAGTTAGGGAAAGTGGTTTCGTACAGACTCTGCCTGCTAATGGGCTAATGGCGTCAGTGATATCTGTGGTGCATCTAGGTCTCCTCATGATGAGGGACTTTCAGTGCTGGGTGGCGAAATTAGGTCTTTGCCCTCTGCGTCATCTCAGCCGGCCAGTGAAGGTGACGTCGGTGTGTGTGAAGGCGCTTCGCCAGTGGTGTACCAGGGGGGCTCTCGAGTCGGGCATCCCTTTAGGCTCCAATGACACCACGGCTGTCTGTGATGGACAGGTCGACCTGTGACCAGGCTCCACCCCTGCCCTGCTAATGTGGTTGACTTCCCTGACGGCTTATTCTAAAAGGATTTCTTCCCGTGCCTGCGATGGGAAGTGATGGTGAAACACCTCACTCTGTTATCAAAGAACCAGGGATTACATCAAGTAACCCAAAGTTTCCTTTTGCTTGGTGTGGTTTTGTTTAAACAATTCTTTAGATTTAGCTGTCCTTGTTCACAATGTACAGGTAAATTGTTATATAATATCTGATTAATGGGGATATATTGGTTTCACATGAAATGTATTCCTTTTTTGTATTTATATTTGAGTAGTTGAGGGGCACACTGGAACCATCATTTGTTGTTATTTACAGACAACAGTAACTGACCACTAGTTAACATCCTGTGCTGGTTAGAGTTTCATTCTAAACACAGCCTCACTTGTGTTTCTATTTGTTTCACATATTCTTAGAAACCTGTAAATGCCCCCCAACATTGGTCTAAGATTCCATAACCTAGCTAATCCTATCCTGAGTTAATCATATTCTTGAATTTAAAATGCCTGAAGATACTCCTGCTTGATGCCCGTCTTCCCACGCTAACTGTAATACTCTGTCATTCAGGACGGAGCGGACCTTGGCTGTGTGTATGATGATATGACATTTGTATTGTACAAACCTGCTGATCCTCCCCAGAAGGATTCTCCTGAAATCTACAACATGCTTTCATTTGCCGTTTCTCACCTAGAAATGACAAACACTCTCTACTCTCATGTGGATTCTCCAGTGGTTGCAACAAATTAATCATTTTGTGGCTGCGTGTATGAGCTGCTGGCTACTGTATTCTGTCTCTTCTATGTGTTCCTTGTGGTAGTGTGTTTGTGTGCATGTGTACACGCGAGCACTAGAGGGCACTCTGTCTTAAAATCAAACAATGGAAAACTGCTTTGGCGGCTGTGTGATAGTCTGTTTGATAACCTGATGTTTGATACCCTGAATAAATAATTTGTTTAGATGCCTACAAATGGACTGAGGACTGTGCCACCACCTTTGACTGCCCCCAAAATACTCTCATCGAGGCCCCTGTACTGGCGTACCCCGACCCAGTACTCCCCCTCATCCTGGACACAGTCTGACAGTCTTGAGGGTGGTGCATGATGTGACAGGAGTCAGGTACCTCAGAGCAGAAAAAATACGCAAAAATACTGTATACTCTGGTCCCAGAAATTATATTTTTTCATCTTGTGCACAAAAGAAATTATATTGTGTATACAAGACAATATAAGATAAAGAGAGATCTTTATTGTCACTATTACACAAAGAGTGAAAAACAGCAACCCATGACTAGTGAGTTACAGCCTCTGTCCCACACGCTCAACCCATTGAGCCATGGAATGATACAGGAAGCAGAGAAACCACACAAGGATCTAGTACCAAGACAGAAGGGAACAGGATGGCCAGCAACACCTACTGACCAAGCAGGGAAGAGATATCAAGGGCAGGGAAGGACAGGTGCTGACCCTGACACATGTATATTCAGCTTGTGAAAAACATAACATTCATAACATATGCATGTGTTTAAACATTCAGTAGCATTAACTTAATACTAACTTGATATTTAATATTTTAATGTGTAATTGTTTTCTTACATTTGTATGCCAATATATCATCCTAATTTTTTTGCGTTGTTCTGTTTCCTGTGTGCAAAGCATTGTGGGACATTTAAGTGGTAGTGGAGTTGCATGAGCTGTCATTGTTGCTGACTAACTTCATGAGGGTACTCCCCCATAGATCTTGCTGCTTTGAGACACACTTCAATATTGCGACAAGTCTCAGGAATGCTCAAAAAAAGGATAGTGGGGAGGAGGAGTGTGTAGGGACTGGTTTGGGATTGGGCCTCACACTCACTGTTTTGCGCCTCCTACTCAAATGGTTCCCTAGGCGATTGCCCATGTCACTTATCAGACATATCAGACAGGCCCTGACTCAAAATGATGGACCGTAACAAAAACCAGTAATGATGCTGGTCACTGTTGCTCCGTTTAAGTGTCTTAGGAAGGGGCATTAAATAAATTCAATTCAATTTATTTTTATATGGCGCCTTTCACAACAAAGTTGTCCCAAACTGCTTTACAGGGTTGTGTTGTGATACATAAAACATAACTAGAGGGAGATACAGCATGGGGAAAAAGGAAGGAAAGAAATTGAATAAAGAAAGCCAGAAGACAACGGAGGAGAGGAACCAAAAACTCCTAAGTAGGGAGGAAAACAAAAACTGTCACGCACACCGTTCAAGTGATCGCCACGAGGACCCGGAAGTAGGCGATCGTCCGGAAGATACTGTAAATAGCCCAAGATAAATGACCCAAGCCCTTTCTACCTCCATTGCCAGTACTGTGAGTACTCCAGTCTTCGGTTCTATCTCTCTGATTGTGTGTGCATTTAGAACGCAGATTCCAGTGGGAATCTCTACTCTTTGTTTAAAAAGTGTTCTTATAATAATTGCGTGGTTATCGTACTTCTTCGCGTAAACTTCACGTCTGGGTTACCATCCATGCTACACAGGCTATCCGCTGACGCCAGTCTTCCTGTATTTTCTGCCTGAAATCCTGACAGAATGACTGAGCCGCATGCGGTTAACCCAGTGGAGTTCGCCGCCCTCTGTGACGCTGTCGCAAACCAGTCAGTGTTGATTGATCAGCTTCAGCGTGAGGTCGCGGACTTGCGGCAAAGCACCCAAAGCCAAGCTGCATTCCGTGGTGGGGACCGACCTGCTCTGAACTATGCCTACAGGCAATGGCTGGGACGTGCTCTAGGGAGTCCAAGGCCCCTGACATCGATCCGGAGGCCATCCCCCACACCGTGACCTGCCAGAGGTCTTCTGCAGGAATTGGGCAGTGAAACTACCTCCACACCGGCCCTATGACCTAGCCATTGACAGGCGCTGTACCATCCCAAGGCAGGCTTTTCTCTCTTTCCCCCTCAGAGACCAAGGCGATGGAGGAGTATGTTGCTGACGCTCTCCACCAGGGTACCAGCAAACCCTCCTCCTCGCCCGCTGCTGCAGGGTTCTTCTTCGTGGAGAAGAAGGATGGTGGTCTCCGGCCCTGCATCGACCATTGGGGGCTCAACAACATCACTATCAAGAATCGTCACCCACTTCCCCTGACCAACACTGCCCTGGACGCCCTCTCTGGTTCCACCCACTTCACCAAGTTGGACCTCCGGAGCGCCTACAACTTGGTACGCATCTAGGAGGGCATTGAGTGGAAGACGGCATTCATCACTCCCACTAGTCACTATGAGAGTCTGGTGATGCCCTTCGGCCTGTGCAATGCTCTCGCAGCCTTCCTACAATTCATCAATGATGTGCTGCGGGTTATGCTGGGCCGTTGGGCATTCGTCTACCATGATGACATCCTCATCTACTCTCACACCCTGGAAGAGCACATCCAACATATCAGGCCCATTCAGCCATCCAAAGAGCTAACCGTCGTTACACTGCTCAACATCGCCGTCGGCACCCACTGGAACGATTGTTCAATATAGGTGACAAGGTTTGGCTTTCCACTCAGAATTTTTGCCTCCGCACCGACTCTCGGAAGCTCACCTCCTGCTTCATTGGACCTTACCGCATCATTGATGGTGGTCCCTCTTACACTTGTGCGCCGGATCCTCGGTGCGCGTCCTCGGGGCCAGGGTACTCAGTACCTTGTCGATTGGTAGGAGTGCTCGTGGGTCCCGGCCCAGTTCATCCTCGATCCTTCCTTGGTGCGGGATTACCGTCTTCGGGTATCCTCCCAGCCAGTGCCATCTGGTGCTGGCCCTGGAGGGGGGGGGTACTGTCACGCACACTGGTCAGGCGATCGCCACGAGGACCCGGAAGTAAGCGATCGTCCGGAAGATAAATAGAGGAATATTTCATTCACTCGCCGCTCAGTCATTGCGAAATGACCCAAGCCCTTTCTACCTCCATTGCCAGTACTGTGAGTATGCCAGTCTTTGGTTCCATCTCTCTGATTGTGTGTGCGTTTAGAATGCGGGTTCTGGTGGGAATCTCTACTCTTTATTTAAAGAGCATTCTTATAATAATCGCGTGGTTATCCTACTAATTGGCCCTCTGGAGCTGAAGCTAGCTTGTTAGGGGTAGTTGGCATTGAAGTTAGGGTCATATCCTAGGGTCGGGGGAGAAGGGTCTTGTTTCGCTTTTGCTTTGTGTGTGTGTTTGTGTGTCGGAGGCAGCGCCTGTGTCTGTGCCTTTCTGATATCAACGAAGACGGACAGGATGGTGTGCCTTATTTATCGTGGGGTGGATTGCCTTATTAGATTCCATTCTCGTATGTAGTGTTGTGTGTTTTTAAGCTGAAGTGCACTTATGTGTATCTGGAATTTATCGCGTGTGTAGCGTTCTGCCCAGTTCTGCAACTACCTCCCAGCTCGAGTACTATGGGACCTTTAAATGTTAAAGAAATAAAAATAATTGATTCTTTTTATACGGTTGTGGGTTGTCATTACTTGCCTTAAGTTACACAATAACTATTAGCGTTGCAGCAGCTCAAAATTCTGGATTAATTATACTTTTTCCCCATGCTATCCTTTTCTCCTGGGGTGTCAAATAATTAATAAAACAAATTTGATTTTTACCACTTACAATTCTACGTAAAAACTTAATAACGTACTGTAAATTACATTACAATGCGGAAACTGACGCTTCGTACCGTCAGCGCTGTACTAATTACTGTATATCAAACGAAGTGATCCGCTCTGAACTCGCTTAGACTTTCTGGCGGCGTCGCTTCTATCGTTACGATCGAGTGAATTCAAGATGAATTCATTTTATCAGATTGTTGTTTTCCTGCCAGGTAAGTACACGTTTTACATCAATGTGGGCAGATTATCACAAGAGAAAATATACAGTAATATGCATAAACATCTTGTTTTACTAGAATGGGTGTAACATCTTTACAGTTTACTTTGTATTTGAAATTCGAATGACTGTTTGAGATGTTTCTATCATACATGAAACCCAAGTGTGTTTCTCCTTTCTGTTTTTAATTAACGGAGGGCTGCGGTTTGCACTGGCGTCGAAGATCAGTGAAGTGCGGGCATATGTAGGAGGACAAGTGGACATCGACTGTCCGTATCCAGCCGATTACATACACGTTGCCAAGTACTGGTGTCGAGATCCCTGTAATGATGCGGATGTTCTTGTTAAATCTGAGACGTCAGACACCTACATTTCCAAAGGAAGATTTTCTCTGTACGACAATTCTAACGGACGGTCATTAAGTGTCACCATAAAAAAACTGACTCTGAAGGATGCTGGGATGTATTACTGTGGAGTAGAAAAATGGTGGAAGGACAAACTCAGAAAAGTTCATGTCCAGGTCAGGAAAGGTATGTAATCTTTAAGTTATCTGGTATCTTCTTAATTTACGTTTGTATTTGGTTGATTAAATGTAGCTGATATAATGTAGTTGATATAATCTGCACCATATGCGCTGAACTGTATTTGTCTAAACTCAGCTTCTCCAGCTACTACAGTTGTTCCTAAAACTGATCCAGCAAGGAGGCTCTTAACTCTGCTGGACCGATCCATGCTGGTCACACAGCGCCATGTCACTCAGCTCTCCACAGGTGCGTTACATGGCCACGGTGGGCTAGGACCAGATTTCTTTTGCCTGATTTAAGTGAACAGCGTGTTCAGGTATCCTGGCTTAGTCAGAACAGGTTGCTAGCCTTCATATTTTTTACAACTTCCTTTGAACCCATTTTGTGTGTCTTAAGATCCTACTACTACCATCATGATTAACCTACAGAGTGTTACTGTGGAGAAAGCCAACCATTCCACAGGCCATCTGTCCATCGGTGAGTAGGGGCTTTACCACATTTCCAGTTTGTTTGTAGTGCTTCTCCCTTAGTGTATCTTGCCTGAGTGATGCATGTCCAGGTATTTGGTGGGCTGGTAGTGTTTTGTTGTGTTTGTTACACTATTTCTTCCTCTACTAATAAGTACCTCTGTCAAGAATGTTTTAACACCGTAACTGTCAGATAGTAACAAAAAATGAAAATGATAAAGTAGTCATATGACTTAGTACAGAGCTGGACTGGGATTACAATTCGGGGCCCCCACGGCCTGAAAATTTTGCCGAGTGGGGGGTCCCCCACAATATATTTTGCCATGCAGACAGGAAAATGCTCAGTATGCCAGGTGAGCAGTCGTCCAGCCCTGGCATAGCAGCAGAAGCCTCTCTACACGTGTCAGACATGAGGATGGTGTTTCTCTCAGTAATCAATGCTTTATTTGTTCACACCATTAAACTTTTTTTTTTTTTTTTTAAGTACAAAAATAAAACATTAAGAAGTTGGAAGATAGGCTTGCTGAACTCATTCTTTTAAATACAGGACCGTAAGTTTATATTCACTCATTGATTATCAAAGCCCTGACTGAATCCCTTATGTGTAATACACAGTACCCACACACTGTGTGATTAAATTGTTACTTTATTCCTCAAGGTTTTCAAATTTATCACAAGTAATTATGTGCAAATTTGACAGATTTAGTTGATATGCTTTTAAAAATGTTAATCAAGACCTCTGCTGTTGTAAGTCACTGGAATATTGTTGAAGATAAAGTGAGATTTGCTAACTCTGCAGTGGGCTGTCTTTTGCACATGTATTCCGGAGGCAGAGTTTAGCTTAGAGAGTTTAGCTCAGCTTGCAGAAACGCGCTGTTACAGAGAGGTAGTGGGGCCCATGATGGACCTGGTTTATGCACAGAGACTTCAGCTAAACATGCATCTATTTACCTCAGTGAAGTTGTTATAAAGTCTGTATTTTACTTAAGATGAAAGTCCCAGTGACTAAATAATATTGCATGTTGTTTTGTTTTAATTGATCGTTATTTTGAGCTTGTCTAGTTTGACCACTTCCTGTGGGTTAAACGGTACAATGCATAAAGATGCCTTCTTCCTTACTAGCTGTTATAGAGTGAAATAGCATTGAGGCTGAAGTGCCCTTGTGTTAAAAACAGAATGTGAGTCCCTTTTATCCTTAGTGTGGTTTGCTGGGGCCAAACATAATCTAATTAAACCAAACCTGACATTTTCTAAATAGACAAATTTGGTAGTGCCACAGTTTTGCTTGGATCAACCTTTGGGCTGCTGATGTGCTTCCTGCTGGTGTCACTGGCTTATCTTTCAAAGCGATTAACGTCAAAGTCACAAGGTATGTTTGCAATCATGATCATTTATACACCACCTATTCTAAAGGGAATTCATACACTTTATAAGCTTGCTCTGTATATTTGCTTAATGTGACTTTAGTGGCACTTACTCGGTTTGTTATGGTGTTTTTGTTTATAATTTAATTATATTTAATAATTACTACTAACTTCTAATCTTAACATGTTCTGACACTGAATATGCATTTGTGCACAATTTCAACAAAATAATATCTCAGGGGGAGTTTATTGGAAAATTATGGCACACATTAAGTTCTCTTTAAAATTAACAAACTTATATATTTCTAGAATCAAATTCTTTGGATTTTGCTGTCCCTCTTCACAATGATCAGGTAATTGTTTATAAAATTTGATCAATCGGGATATGTCCGTTTTCTGTGAAATGTTTTCCCTTTTTACTTTTATATTTGAATAATAGAGGGTCACACTGGTAACATGCTTTTGCTTTTATTTACAGTCAACAGTAATTGGCCACTACTTAATATCCTGTGCTGGTTTGAGTTTCATTCTAAACATTAATCCGCTCTTGTGTTTCTATCTCTCTTCTCATACTTTGCCTACTCACACATTCTTAGAAACCTGTAAATGCCCCCCACCCACAGTCTAAGATTCCCTTACCTAGCTAATCCTATCCTGAGTTAGTCATATTCTTGAATTTTAAATGCCTGAGATACTCCTGCTTGATGCCTCTCTTCCCACACTAACAGTAATACTCTGTCATTCAGGACGGAGCGGACCTTGGCCATGTGTATGATGAAGTTGCATTTCACGACCCTGCTGATCTTCCCCAGATGGATTCTCCTGAAATCTACCACGTGCTTTCATTCAGCAGCTCTCACCCAGAAATGACAGAAAACTAACTCTACTCTCTTGTCAATTTCTGACTGGCTGCAGCAAATTAACCATTTCCAAGCCGCATGTGTGAGCTGCTGGCTATGTATTCTATTCTGTCTGCTCTGTGTGCCTTGGGGTAGCGTGTGCATGTGTACACACAACCACTAGAGGGCACTCTGTCCTAAAATCATAAACTTGGCAGAAAACTGATTTGACCAAACCAGTTATGTTTGATAACCTGATGTTTGATACCCTGAATAAACACCTTGTTTTAGATGTTGTCTGCAGTCTTTGTGTTTCTTATTCTAATGCCAGATTTAGAAAATATCGCTTTGGCCTGTATAACTACAAACTGCCAACAAGCTAATCCAGATCACATTTGAGGAGGCCTAGTCCACCATAGGCCAGAGAACATTGCTATGCATCGTATGTTGGGATCACTAGAGATTCTTCCACTGAGGATTTTATGTAGAATTTCCTCCCAATGAAAATGATTTAGCTACAGTATCATGTATAATTTTTGAATATCTACTTGTATTATTATGTATACGTATGGATTTTTTTTAGGACCATTCTGATAATTGTTGTAATGTCCTCTCCGTCTCTTTCACTAACTGTAAGAACATGCCACCTTCTCTCCATTTCTTCTTGGAGTAAAGGAGGCTGGTGCCAGAGGCATGTTGTCCAATGTCCTTCTTTAAAGGACACTGGCTTGGTATATTTCCTTAGATGGATGATTGTGCTAAAACAAGCACGTTCTGGAAACCAAATGGAATAGCTTTGGTGTAAATCAAATCAAGAAACAGATTTCCAAAATGAAATTGTACCATATATTCAATAAATTGCTGAAAATGTACTGACTTAAGTTATTTTAATGAGTTATGAAATCATGGCTAAACTATTTAAATCTAAAGTTCCATTTGGCACAACAATGCAACTAAGATCTGTCATCAAGTGTATCTATGGAAACAAGGGGGGGGGACCCCATCTGTTATCCGACATAATTTTATCCGACATTTTAAATACCTACTTTTTCAGACTGTTATAATTATCATTTAAGTTGTACATTTATTTCACTTAGCAGTAAATACAGTAATGGCACGAAGTAAATTTGCTTAAAAAGGCCCAGGCTGTTTTTAAATAATTTCGATACTTGCTTAAGAACATAAGAACATAAGAACTATACAAACGAGAGGAGGCCATTCGGCCCATCGAGCTCGCTTGGGGAGAACTTAACTAATAGCTCAGAGTTGTT